ACCCAGAGCCCACAGCACCGTGCTCTGTCTAACCCAGAGCCCACAGCACCGTGACATGTGACCTCTGCTCTACCCAGAGCCCACAGCACCGTGACCTGTGACCTCTGCTCTGACCCAGAGCCCACAGCACCGTGACCTGTGACCTCTGCTCTGACCCAGAGCCCACAGCACCGTGACCTGTGACCTCTGCTCTGACCCAGAGCCCACAGCACCGTGACCTGTGACCTCTGCTCTGACCCAGAGCCCACAGCACCGTGACATGTGACCTCTGCTCTGACCCAGAGCCCACAGCACCGTGACATGTGACCTCTGCTCTGACCCAGAGCCCACAGCACCGTGACATGTGACGTCTGCTCTAACCCAGAGCCCACAGCACCGTGACATGTGACCTCTGCTCTGACCCAGAGCCCACAGCACCGTGACCTGTGACCTCTGCTCTGACCCAGAGCCCACAGCACCGTGACATGTGACCTCTGCTCTGACCCAGAGCTCTATAATAGAAGAGTTTCCATTGTTTTAAGGGCGAATCGTGGAGCCTCTCAATAGTTCCCGGAAGTTAGTCAGACCCGGCGGGCTCTGACTAATCCATCCAGGATTTGGGCCCGCTGTTTTAATCAGAGCTGAATAAAACATTTTAATTGTTTTATTATTATGTTTATTGTTGTTATTTGTAGGGCTTTGTCCTAATATTTATTTTTGTATTAAACTATGTTGAAAGATTAGTTTAATATCATTTTTTAATTTTGCTAGGACATTCTGAATGAAAGGCGAGACTGGTTTTTCGCTGGGTTGAGTCATATGAATTTTTGAGTGAGATTCGGCACAGCAGCAGCCTGTGCCTTTGCTCTTGCTAGGTTAGTTTGGCTATTATCATTTATATTTAGCTGCAACAATGGATATCAGGACTCTCGACCGGCCCACTTCGGTACCGCCGGCCCACCTCGATACCGCTAGTAAATTGTCAACGGGGGGGGGTGCTAGTGACTTATCCGACCGGCCGACATCGTCCGACCCTCTTCA